CGCTAAACCATAACCACCACTGACTGCGGCCAGGCAAGTGACAGGAGCCATTTCCTACCAGAAGCAGCAAGGAGCAGCTTCAGARCTGCCATGCTTTAAGAGCAGACATAAGGATCACTTTTCCAAAAGCAGTCACTTGACCTCCTGCTGTATACCTGCTCTGGAAAACCCACCCCTGCCCTTACCAAAGAGCCACGCTGGGAAARTAGATGGGGTAAAGCACAACTCAATGCTATCAATGCACCAAATTACTATTCTGTGAAAAGGCAAGCGGAAGGGACTCATTACTACATTTCAATGATTAGATTTACTAAGGAATTCCTTGTCTTTCACTCAAATTAAAAACGGATGCATCAAGTAAAAGCCTGTAAATAATGGTAAATTATGCAAGAAGTACTTTGTTGTGGGAAGTATTTTTACAAGTGGCYGTTAACAGTAGGTCCAGAAAACCGGGAAGGTACAATGATCTCAATTTATGTCTTCAGCTACAACTGGACCAATCAATAAGGCACCTTGTAATTCCCCCCATCCTGTCGCCTAAAATGCACCCTCGCCTGCTGCACTGCTTTGTAAAAACTAACATTATTAAGTAGTCATTTAAGGCAAGCAAAAAATATAATCATTCAAATATTCACAAAATAACACCCCTTCAGGAAGAAAATAAATCTGAATAARTATCTAACGTAGTATTCACCATACTGGAAAGTTACAATACACTAACAACAGGTCTGAAATATTCCTAAACGCAGCAATCTYGCCTTTATTCTCATTTGAGCATGAACTTCACAAAACTAGATTAAGTTTCAAGAAATACTGAATTACTAAATAGCCCCTCATCATAAAACTAGTTAATTATTTTTAAGACAAAGCACTCAATATCAATCAATAAACATCAACTAGAGAATTCATTTCCAGTATCTGGACTTAGCATGAACCATCAGTTCCCACACCAAGAGCATTATGATTACTTCTAGTGGAGTGAGAGTTCTCTGTATTCCCAATTTTGTTCAAAAGTATCAGATCAGTTAATATTTAATGTAACCAAAACACACATACTCAATGTTAAGCCACTGTCTTCCCCCATTTGACTTCACTGGCAATGTAAGGGCATGGCTGCAACATTCTGTCAACATAACAGCTGCTGTGTACAGTTGAACAGTGACAGAAAGGCAGCATAACTGGATATTTAAAAAAACAAATTAAAGTATTATTTCATACAGAATTACTTTATAATACATTTCATTATGGAATTTTAAAAAGCTTGTTCTTCTTCATTGAGGCAACATTGCTCTAGGTATATACTACAGATTCTGGGTAAAAAGATCAAGACGAAACACTTATTAYGTGACACCAAATTGCAGACTATATAAGTAACATAGCCAACTATCACGCTTTTTCAACCTTTTGAAAACACACATTAGAAGTTTAAGCAAACTGATTACATGATCCTTCCTGATGGAAAACTGTGTTTTGAGCATCAAATTACATCCCACAGGATTACTGTACTGTAGAGGTGCCCTGTATTTTGCACCTGTTTTTACGTGACCATTTCATATCCTTACCATCAAAGAGCTTTCCTACAATTCTGTGAACAATGTGAGCATGCCTTCTACCATCACTGCTTGCATGAAAGGTTCCTATTAATTGATCTAAGGGACAAAATGTATACAGTTATCAACATTCATGTCAGCTTTTTGTTTGGCTTTTTCTGGGTTTTTTTTTTTGTCAATTAGGCATAAAAAGGGTATTTTTTCATGATATCAAAAATGTATGAAATCCTTTAACTCAGTCTGACAGTACATTTATGTAGACCATCCGGAATGACCAACAATCACAACTTCCACAAGTAACTTAAGCTATTTAYGCAGTACCAATACAAAGTTAGCATCTACACTGGGAAAAAATCTGCAAGGAAAAAAGTTAATTATCAAAAATTAGCTTATAGTTGTAGCTTAAGAAGACCAATCTCARGAAGTGACAAGAAGATCAATGAACATATTTTCAAAGACAGACTTATTGTGGTTTATTTCACCAGGCATTCCTTTACACTCTGAAGTAGGGTGGACATCACTTTTATGAGAAGGAATCTGGTTTTGGAGGTTATGCTAAGTTTACTTAGTCGCAAATCAATTTAAGTGAGTGCAACACTGTTTAATTTTGTTGTCATTTCCCAATCTCTGGATACATAATACCAAGTGCTCTGCAATCTACAGCACAAAGAAAACTAACTGARTGATGTGGCTTGTAGTAACTGATATTAGAGCAATGCATTTGGTACTAAAATAACAGACGGAATAAAATAAGTATGTTAAGGTCTCTGTCAGTCAGATCRCTTGAACTTTGCTGAAGATAAAAAGTTGTTTGAAAATGTAAAACTATGAGGACAATGTTACTGAGACAGTGAATMAGCAGCTATTCAAAGACCTTTAATTCAAACCAACTTCAYGCRAAGCTGCAGAGCAAGTGACACAACTATTCTGCATTTTCTCCAGTTTTAAGTTCTCAGATCTTTTGCAAGACAGTTAAAAGTCTGAAAGTGTTTGAAACAAATAACTGTGTGTGAGCATGTGCATGCTTTATTGAGAATTTGATTCCTTTTTCAGTTCCATTTTCTCTGCAACTGAGTTGAATTTAAAAACCATATATACTAGTAGGCTGTACTTGCAAGTATAAGCACAAACTATTGCACTGACAACCCTTGACTTCAGTGTCCACATGAAATTCAGTTATTTTAAAGTCCAAGGCATTATCATTCTTATTCAATAACTTGTTTATTCAGCTGCTGATGCTCCTATTTCAATCAATCTTTTCTGTTCTAAACAACTTCACAAAGATGCTCCAAGTGGTCAGTGCCTTCTTCTCCAGGTCATCTGTTATGATTTCAACCCTATTTTGCATTCACTTAAGAATTTTCATACTTTCCTAGGCATATTCTCCCTAGTGTTACTAAGTATAAATCAGAYACTGAACTTCATGAAACTTAAAAAGTCAGAGTTGTACACCCTTGGTTGTTTTGTTTAGTTTTTGGTGTTTTTTGCAATGATATTTGCCCAGGACATTTTTAATTAAAAAAAAAAACAAAACATACAGACTGAACAAAAGAAAAAAAGTACAAAAAACTAAGTTTCTTTGCTGACATTACAGGCCTTTTCCGCTACAAAATTCCTATTCCTTCGGTAGGTCTTTATAGTAGAAATCTGTTGGACTGCATACTAGACATCAGTGGAAACTATTCTAAGAAGATATTTTGAAGATTATTAATTTCAATTCTCACTCTTGTATAACTCYGCACCACATCCCTCTGCAGTTACATTAGACAGGTTTGCAATATCAGCTCTGATTTTGAGTCAGTGTAACAGGATTGTCACACTGCACTGCTCTTTCATGTACACTATGCAAACTCTTCTTCAGTAAGAAAATGCTGCATGTTCTCTGCACCTAAGAAACCCACTAAAAGCTTCTCCACATTTATTTTGCATTGCCTAATCAGTCCATTTATTCAGTCCTCAAATCACCAACCATGCACAAGTCAGGCAGTAAAGAAATCTACACRAAAGAATCACATTAAGTTACCAAAACTTTGCAGCACTTCACCCTCCACTGTGAAGAATCTTCTCCTTAAAATTTATTTTATAATTTGAATCAAAATTATATTACAACTTGAATAAAAAAAATCTCAGTAAGAGATGGTAGTCTATATCAGAATTCCAGAAACGTTTATCAGCCTCTTATGAGTTTGTCCCAGGTGTTAATTCATTACTCTGTACAACATGAAATGACTTCTCACTCTAAAATCTACTGCACATTCATTCCACATATGCATTTGAAAGCGAAGTTCCATGACACAATCTTCATAATTAAATTATGTGCTTAGAAAGGGGGGCAAGAATCAGAATATCACTGCAAATGAGGTTTTGATTAAAGGACTAGAGCTGTAYGGCACTGATGGAAACCTACTTTGATATAACATAGTTATTTTACACTACCACTGTGTCTTGTCAGTTTACAGACCACACTACCACAGCAGGATTTCCAGTAGGCTGAAGGTTACACACAAGACACAAGAAGAACAAAAACTTTCTACATTTCACACAAGATTTGGAAGATGATGCTCATCACTGCAACCTGGTAACACAAACTTTGTCAGATAAACCGCCAGAGCCWGAAGCAGCTGGCAGCTCGAACACACGACTTTGGTACCTGAACTGGTAACTTTTCCCTCGCTGTTGTAAACCACCTCTGCACCGGGAGCTCTATCACCGCTCCCGGAGGGGACACCGGCCAGTGCCACGGTGGGCCGGTCAGAGCCCGTTGTACCGCCACCGGGCGTTTCAGAGCCTCTCCGCTTCACGCCAGGCAGGAAGGGAACGAAGGGGAGGGAGAGGAGCGCACGCTCCCCCTGTCCCAGGACGGCAGCACAGCGTTTCCCGGGCCGGCCGCCAGCACAGGGGGGCAGAGCGGGCGGGACCCGCAGCAGGGAGATGCGCGGCGGAGCGCAGGCGGCCCTGCGGGACCCGCCGGGGCGGGCGGCGGCAGGGCACGGACACCCGCGGGCCCCTCCAGGGTGACTCCGGCCATCCTCGAGCGACGGCATCATCCCGCCCGGCCGCCCCCGCGGCATTACCTGGTTTTGCCGGCCGCGCTACCGCCGGCCCAGCCCTAGGCGGAGCGCCACGGCCTCAGGCCCCGAGCGGCGGCCCCGGGTTGCCCAGCTCCTCCGCGCCTGGCAATGGCGGCGGCCCCGCTCCCCCTCCCCGCTCCGCGCTCACTGGCTGCGCCGCTTCATGTGACCGAACAAAACCCTCCTCGACACAGCCCTTTGTGTCCCGCCCGGCCGGGGCACCGGGGACGCCGCTCGCCGGCTCGGGGAGAGGGCCAGTGGCGCTGGCAGGGACGGAGTGAAGCGACAAGGCGGGCTGGAGAGGGAAGGGCCGGGCTAGGCAGCGCCCGCCGCGCCCGCCCGATCTCCCCCACACCGCCGCCCCGGCCCGGCCACTTACCGCGGCGGGGGCGGCGGCGGCCGAGCCGCGGTGCCGCACCAGGTCGGAGGCGGCCGCCATGTTCCCGATGCGGCAGGATGGGGCAGACCCGCCCGCTCCACCACCCGCCGCTAGGGCGGCCGGCCCGGCCCGGCCCGGCCCGGGTCAGATTGGGTGGGCTCCGCTGAACCTCGGCCCGCGCCCCCCGGCCCGCGCAGTGCCGCGCCTCCGGCACTCTCCCCCCACTCCACGGCCGCGCGGGGGCGGCGGGGGAGCGCTACGGAAAAATAAATCGTAACGGGAAACTCACGGGCTCGCCGGGCTGTGCGTCACGCCGGGGTTACGTCCTGCGCGCGCCGTCGTGACGTCATCGCGCAAACATCCCGACCGCCCCGCCACTCCGCGCGCGGCTACGCGCACGCACACGCACGCACGCGCCCCACGGTGCGCGGAGGGCGCACGCGCACGGCATCTCCTCCCGTTCCCGCGGGGGCGCGCGCTGTTCCCGGTGCCGGGCGCGCTCTCGCGGGATCAGGGGCGATGTCCTCCCCCGGGCTCCTCAAATCCTCCTGGCAAACAACGCCACAGGCCTGGGAAACCGGGTCAGGTGCGGCAGCATGTGCGCTGCGGGCAGGCACAGGCAGGCTCAGCTCAGCTCAGCTCAGCTCAGCTCAGCTCCGGCTGCTGCGGACGGGGCCAGGGGGCGCGGGGAACCTGAGCGCAGCGGGCACGGCCCGGGGGGCCGGACAGCAACGAGGTGACAAAACGACACCTTCGGTGCCATTCTCTCCTCAGGTCAATGCTGCTGAGAGAAACCCCGGCTCAGAGAGGGAATTCTCCCAGAGTCAGGGGAGAATGGTAAATGGTAGAGACTGCCTAACGGARTTAATTTTTTCCTTTCAGATTCGCTGAGCCCGGAGGATTTCACACTAGAGTGAGAAGCTGATAAAGGCAACGTTAGAGGTGTGAGTGGTGGTCAGAGTGCTCAGGGAGACAACAGTCAGGAGAGAGGAAGAGGAAAAATGCGCCACACATAATTCAAAAGGGGGGAATAGGTAGAGCCAAGCACTGTCAATCATTCCAACCTCTATTCCCAGGAAAGTACGGAAGCAAATAATCACACAATCTTTAGGTACATGGTAGCTAATGAAGTGATAAGTTACAGCCAACACAGATTTGTCAAAAAAATCACATCAAGCCAAACCCATCCCATACTGTGACAGGATAACAGGCCTTGGATGTGAGTAGTGCTCGATCTGTTATGCCTTGACTTAACTAAGGTTTTTGACACCATCTCGGAGAAGTCTTAATTGAGCAAGCAAAAGACAAAACATGAAATGACTGCAGTGGTGCAAAAGTACATCAGCAATGCTTTGCTATGACAAATAGCAGGACACAGGAAATACGGTTTCCTGGAGGTGGGTATGTCCCGAGTTTGGTTTCAAGTGTAATTAAATGAGTGACAGAATACAGTTTACATGGATTGGATTTGCCAGCAATGCCAAACTGGCAGAGCTGGAAGCATGTTGCAGCACAAGGAAAGAATTCAAAACCTTCCTGAAAYAGTGGTTGCAGAAATATGATACAATTGAATAAACACAAATGCCAACTTCAGCATTTAACCAGGAAAATAACAATTGCACAATTGCAAGACTGGGAACTGATGAATAAACACCAGGTTCACAGAAAAGGGGCTGGAGATTAGAGTAAATAACAAACAGAACATGCATCAACAATGTCACACCGTTGTGAAAAAAGCTGCAGTACACAGAGATGCRTAAACAGAACTGTCATATCTAGGACATAGGCAGAATTCCTCAGATTTAATACCAGTGAAGCTTCCTTGTATGTTCAGATTTGGCCTCTGCATTTCAAGAAAAATTCCTTTCAGAAACTTAAGTAGGAGACAGTACAAGCAAGGGAAGTGGAAAAATCACCATTTAAAAAGATATGACCCTAACTGAAAATAGAAATGTGTGAGATTTTTTAGTCTAGAGAATAAAAGGCCATTGGCAGAAAAATCCATTGTTCACTAAGTCAACTGCAGACAGGGATAAACTTAACAGTTTTCAACTGTACTGAAAGAACTTTCAGTCAGACATAGGAACAGTTCTATTATGATATTGATAAATAAAACTGGCATATATTCTCTACAGGACTTTTGAAATGCTATGATTTTTAAGATTAAGTTAAATGTCCATAAGAAAAATATAGAAGCATTTGACTGCTGTGAAGTAATGGAGGCACACTAGGTAATTGTTTTCAGCATAATTTTCTGTAGCTGTAATTACTATTCAGATATCTGTCCTGATCCTATTTTTTTCTGATAAAAGTGAATCCCATAGGCATTTAAACATTTAATGTGGTGTTGTGATCATATGCACAGGTGTAGATATCCCCTTTGGGAGCCTTTGTCATGTTACAGTCAGTATAGCTGTGTGGCAACATATGTCACATGCTCGGCTAATTTGCTAATTTATAAACTTTATATATCACTATAAATCCCACATTTTAAAATAATGTGTGTGTTAGTGCTCATGTAACCATCGTTTATCATGGCTTTTGCTTTTCTGTGCTTTTTTTCAGAGCACCAGAGCCTAATTTTCCCCAAAATCCATTAAATTTGGGGGTTGCTCTGSAGCTTGCCAGTTAGGAGAAGTCAGTGTGAGTGGTTTATGTTGTKAGACTGAGACCCACCAAACTCAACTCATTAGAGATGACTAAAAGGCCATTAATAGGCTGATTTTCCATCTCCTCTGAGTTAGACTGAATTCAAACTGATAGCCCACAGGCAAACGGCTATGAATTTCATTAACAGTACCCGAAAGCATTCAGTCCCCTAATGAGTGCTAATATTATTCTTCTGAGAATTAAGCTTGTTTTCTGAAAATATACATTTATTAAATTGACTTCTAATTATTTTGGAGCTTATAAGGACAGTTTTTCCACTGCTCTTAAACACAAGAAACATTATCATCTTGTGCAATGCACAGATTTCTTCTATGATTTTTGCATCCTATGTGCTCCATGCTAACCAAAATACAAACAATAAAAATGTGAAAAAGCAAATATTAATACTACCTCTATGCTTCTTGCTGAAAATCATATATTTTATTGGTTGCAATCATTTTAGGGTCATCACACTWACTTAAATATATTTTGTCCCATAGAAGTGAAGATTTAAGGAACAGCAATTCTTGCTTCAATTAACAACTGAAGCAAAACATAAAATTCTATGAAAGTATTAACTTATAGAAGAACATGCARTGTTTTATTATATTTCCAATTTAATTGTGAACAAGTAAAATGCTTAGCATAAGGAAATCTGAACTTCAGTTCTAATGCTGCCAAATTCCACACTTTATTAATAGTTTAAAGATACCTAGCAATTTTTAAATCTCTGAATACTTAAAGGCTGAATTACATTAGCATAGTGGACTCTAAAAAAATGCTTATGATTCACATAATCTGTGGATCAAAAGAAAAATCCACATTTGGTGTGAATGAATAGTGCACATAAATGCAATATTTCATTAAAATGGCARTGTAGTTAAAGATTATGTCCAGTGGTGTCAGAAGTCTTTTTTTGATTTCTAATTCCACTTCTGTTGCCATTCATAATATGTGAAAAGTAGTAGATGATCTCAAAGGTTACACGATAGATTAAGACTTGAAAAACAGACACAAAATKATGCAAAATTGGGATTGCATGTCTGCATGAAATAGAAATTTCTGGATCAATGAGGCATTCTAAGATCAGTAAAAGAACATGTRTGGCCAGTAAAGAACCACACAATAGGATTCTTGAAAATCAAGCCAGATACTGCACASTTGGCTTTTTGTTTGCAGAAATTCTGGCTGTGTCCTATATTATTTCTCCACCAATGCAGACAAGGTCTAAAAATGGTTAAAACAGCATTTGAAAACCTCTTGAGAGAAGGATGCTATCTAGTTCCTCCTAGTCTTCAAAACGGCTATAGAAAGCTTAAACCAAGGCAAATTCTTTCAAGTTAGCAGCAAAATATTATTAACTGAAACCAATTTAGAAACTGTTTCTTCATATAAACATTTTTGTAGCTGAAGCTGCAGAGGGACAGTTTAAGCAGGTCTAAGCAGAAGCATTTTGAATGAAAGAAGACTGCAAATGCCTCCTTGTAACACATAGCAAAATCCCAAATGCCTGGAGGGAAAAACTTTTTAATGATAATTTCTTACATTTATATAGCACCTTTAATTCCCTAGGACCCCAAGCACTTCATTAACTCTATGCAAAAAGCTTCACCATGGAAATACAGCCACTATATGTATCATTCTTTAAAAAATTTCACATTCAGTTGACAYATATTCTACTTATGCTGTGTACAGCAAACAAAACAACAGATAAAATATTAAGCTATACAATTTTGAGTTGTAGAACAATTTAAGGCTTTAGAGTTTACAAAATGCACTCATGTAATGGATACATTGCATTTAGCCCACTCATTTTCCTTCTTCATTTACTATTTCCATCTCATCTTTATACCATAGTTCTTGGTAGTAAATTTTATCTTCCATAACATTTTCAAAATTGAAATGATTCTTGATGTCTGAATTTCAGACAAAAATGATATCTATAGGAAAAAGTCGCATCTGTATTCACTACTTTAAACTGAAAAAGTAGGGCTTTTGAATACCTAAGATACAAYGTTGGGATTTTTTCAAGGAGGGATGGTTGTATTAATAAAATCCCTCAACTTTATGTATAAAGTTTGTCTTGTCTTTGCCATTAGACCTGCGTAACTACAAAAACAAGCACCCAGAAACACCATGTGAAAGATATCTGTGTTTCATTGCTCAACTTGCCAGAAAGTTTTTCTTTTCACCCTGCAGAGATGTTTCTGGTTTCTTGGCCTTTCTTACAATGACATAATGGCGATTTCACTACTATAAACTAATTTAGGAACTCAATGTACTGGTTGTTTCAACAGTAATCAACATTATTTCAATTGAAATTTTAGAAGAACTAATGAAGTAACTAACTGGAGCAGTTTGATTTATTTCAACATAGTAAAAACTGCAAAGGGGGAAAGTGATTTTTCCTAATTTTTTTTTTTTTTTGCTCTTTGAGCTGTTGATTCATGTTTTGCTGGCTTTCTTGTTTCACAGGCTCTTTTGAAACACAGTTGTCAATGTTAATTAAAGAGGATTGTCTCATCTTGTCTATTTTTCAGACAGAACAGAAAACGTATTTCATTTTAAAATTTAATCTGTGGTATAAATCAAAGTATTCTAGTCACGGTCAATATGTAT